TTAGTGAAACTGGCAGCTTAACACAGATCAAAATCCTTTTGTGTCTGAGGAGTGAATAATTTTCCAGGTTATATTTTGTTATATTTAATGTAGCTATTTCCAGAGCTCCTATGCATTGCTATATCAGTAGTTGTGCAGGTCAGGAAATTCTCTGGGATTATTCGTGGTCAAAACAGACTAAGAATATGGGTACTGAAGTATCTAGGTACTTTAAGGAAACCATTGGGATACCTGATTTATAGAGCATATACTCTATATGCTGCTTGTTCAACCGTCACAGTTCCAGTTCCTTGTTAGGCAGTGCTTATATAAGTAGATCCATGTTTTTTCTCCATACTGTCATACAGGTTACATAGTAAGTCTTATCAATATTATTTAAACAGTTTTGTACCCTGAAGACCTTTACTATTTTAGTCTAAAAGGTGAAGTGATTAGTATTATGATGAAGACTTGAGCATGCATCACTTCATCACCATGCACATACATATGCATGTGTGTGTATACATATATGTCCATTAAAATGGTATTTGCCTTCTCATGAAAATTGTCTCAGCAACAGAAACTTCTCATTTTTGTTTTCTTTTATGTATAATTAGAAGTTTTGGAAAAGGTCCTCTTTTTATATTTGTTGAATCGTGTTTTCATAGATCATAGACCTTGCAGTGTGATTTGCTTTCAAATGGTAGCTTTAGCTATGGTTTCCTCTCTAAAACATAACTTTGATGGTGTGTATTGGCAGAATTGAAAGCATTGGGAAGCATTTACTTAAATAATCTTTCTTGTAACAAAGACATAATCCTTTATTTTCCAGAAGTGCTAAGAAAAACAAAAGCCACAAACAACTTGGTATTCCTAGCTCAGGCATTGTGAATTTCACCAACAGGAAATAACACCAAACAAAGCAATTTACAGTTATGACCTCAGCGTCTGCCAACACCAGCAAAGTTAGGTAGTACAGGATGCTTGTAACACAGGATTCAAGAGACTTTTGAAATAGCGCTAAATGCTTTGGACTAGTGTGTGTTTGACAGTTGCCATTTCAGAGGTATAGTTGGTCTGTTTTGTTTTCAGAAAAGCTTAATTTTGCTTTCTGGCCTTCTAAAGAAATCTCAGACTCTCATGCATTCCAAGAAAATCAGTGTCCTGTTCCTGGTTTAGTAATCCCTATTCAAAGCATTTAAATGTTGTCAAGAACAGAATGGGAGAGGATGTAATTTTATGGGGGTTTTTTGTTTTAAACAAAAATTTGAAATCCACAGTGGTTGATATGTTAAAGCCTATTTTGCATAGCTAGTGTAAATGGCATGCATTTCCTTTATGTAAGAAAAACAGGGAGATTGCTGAATTGGGCTCCATAAATCATAGAATTCAGTCAGCTGCATATGAAAGTTTGAAAGTTTGTAAATTCTTTCAGTTCCCTATTCTAGTCCTTCAGTGTCTATGTTACTGCCATTTCCATCTGAGCTTAATGATGTTTGAACTGTAATATGATGCAAAGCTCCATTGTGGCTAGCTGAATTCTCTTTGGGTTGATTTACAGGCATGCCTATATTTTTGAATTAATTTCCAGTTTTTAAAACCAAAAGAATCTTGTGTCATGTGTCTCCCCCATGTAGAAAACACCATTTGAATCTCAATCACAACTTCTTCCTAGACCTCAGATTTTTTTAGGTTTGGTTTGGTTTTCTTTCTGAAAAACATCCAATTTTGATTTAAAGAATTTGAGAGATCTGGTCTTAACTAGCACAATCAGAATTGCACTCTCCACTGTAGCTTTTAATGTCTTTGTTATTCACCAGCTAGGATGCCAAAATTTTGCATATCATAATTAAAAAAAAACCAAACCAACAAATAGGCAAATAGATGACAGGAAATAAGTGTGTAGTTATTTGTAGTCTAGTAGCACTGGAAACTACCTGTTGTGGATGACGATGTATGTACACTATAAAAATACACTTTCTTCACTGAAAATACACTGCAAGCAAAAAGGTTGCATTTAAATACTACAAATTATTCTGTAGTAGTTTAAGAACTTGACAGACTCTCTGAAGAAGTCCGTTGAGTTGTTTTAGCTTCATTTGTTTTCTCTTGGATTGCTGAGGATGTAATTACTTTGTATAAAGTTTTCTCTCTGCATTTTCAGCTTTTTTTTTTTCCTTAAGTCATCCTTGTTAGTTTTTAAACTTTAAGCAATGCTGATTTCATTTTATTTACAGAGTGGTATAAACAGTGAACCTTCATTTTGTGAAGATTCTCAAGGTTTGAATGATGAATGCAGGCAAAAAAAAAAAAACCTCATATGACTTCAGGCAGTTTGGTGTTTGCATGTTTCACTAATGGCATTTACCATTACCTCTCTTAGTTCACAGAAATTAATTGTTGGGCTTTTTACTACATTTTTCCAAAACCTGTTTGTTATAATTGTCATTACATTCTAAATATTTCATTTAAGTATTAGGACTACATTGGACTTGTATGCAGTTGTCTTTTTACGTGTAAATTAGTTTTGCTCATTTTAGTTTGCTACTCATGCTGTACATAGAGTACATACTCCTTGAACTAGAAACAAATGTTCCTGGGGCTGGAATGATGGGCAAAGTTATTTACAAGAAAAAAATCACAGATCATATTATGTTTTAAGTTAAGCATATGATCTTGTTTCCTTTCTCTTTGGACCCTTATCTCACGTTGCGCCCCATGTTTGGTTCCCAGTAAGCTGACCTTCATTTTCACTTTGCATGCCCAGTTATGCTTGTGGAGTCACACTGCAGGAAACGTCTTGAACTAAGCTGATGTTCACAAACTGTCTTTTTGCTTTCATCTTCCATCCCCGTGACGTGAACATGAGCATACATGTATAGACATGAAATTCTTCTCCAGAATTCTTAGAACATATGTGCAAAATCGAGCAATATCAGATCTGTGACAGAATAAAGTGTCAGAGAACTCAGTTGTCTTTACTGCAATATTAACTCACTGTTGTAATCAAATACAAAGGAGAAGGTGCAGTTAAGAGATGTAACGTCCAGGTACTTTTTTTCTGTAATTGGCTTTTCCTACCATCCATCAGCCCGTTCTTTGTTGTGTGTGTTAGATTATCTGCAGCTATTACTGGCTGAACTGTGTTCTGCTTGTTAGATAGAATACTATCCTCAACCAGCATACTTAGCCAAAATCTTATAGAGACCTGATTAGTGATGAGTGATACTCTTTTTATCTTTGTACTATCTTAATACTATGTGTATGAGCTACCATGCTTCTTCCCCATAGTCATGTACCAGAATTGGAGACTGAGTGCTAGTGCAGTGCCAGTCTTCTTGCTGCCAGGATCTGACATGTCACTCTCTCTTCTGGTGATGAGGAGATGCTTTATTTCTGCTTCCCTTTTTCCTAGTTGGCAGAATTCCTCTGTTCTCCCCTTCATGTTCTGGAGCAATCAAGCGATGTGGAGTGAGTTTTGAGTCCTAAAGAGGGCTGGATGGTAAAAAGGGGTGAAGGGGGTTGATAAAGCAGGGGAAGTTTCAGTGCCACCTTGTTCTGTGTCATCCACTGTAGAATGAAATTTCTCAGGTACGGGTCTTGCTCATCTTGGGGGTTCATACCAGTTGGAGGAAAATCGTTATGATAATGTTCTTGTGTAAACCCAAAAGATTCCAGACATCCAGAACTGGACTGTAACACACACTGACTGGAAAGTGGAGCTCAAACAAGAAAGAGGAGCTCCCTTATTTTTAGTTGCCATTGTCCAGCATGTTTAATAGTAGTGAGGTAAAAGGAAGAGTGTTAGTACTCTTCTTTTTGCTTTCCACATTGCAGATAATTCAAGTGATACCACTGATCACCTCTGCGGACTGAGTATGGATTTGAAAATAGAGGTTTTATAGATGTATCTTTTGAGATTGTCTGTCTGGTTTTAAGCAGATGTTTAAGTAGATGTTACTAAATGATTAGTTGTGTTCTATGATTACTTATAAAACTGACGTTGGCATGTATTCTGTAAGAAAGCTCTGGGTTCAGACCAAGAGGGTTCTAGTAGGAAGGGTATGATCCAGCAACAGAAACCCGTTCTTCAGTCTTCATCTCCTTGTGGAAAAAATTTTTAAAAGTATCTACCTCCAAATGGTGCCCTTAGTGGAATATGCAGTAGTAATGTATTTACAGTAAGTGTTTGATATTCGGGATGGTTTTGCATTATTAGACTGTGAAACAGCATGAATTTTGTAACACACAGGAAATCTTTGGACTGATGCTATTCTCTGACAGGTGAAGAAGACACAGGAGACAGTAAAACAGATGACTAAAGTGTGTGATAGTGATACGTTTTTTCTAGAAAAAAAGTTTTAAATTCAGTTTAACTTGAGAACTCAGGGACTTGGTGTAGCATAAGTATGATTTAAAAAGAACAGAAAAGTCTTAGAAAGCTTAGAGTAACTTTGAGACGTGGCTTCTGCATTAAAACCTGTAGCCATCCCACCCACCTTCTCATGCAGGCAAAAATGATGTGGAAATCATTGAAACTTTTCCTACGCAGAAAAGCTAACGTAAACTTTCGTGGCAGCACTTCTGTGCATGGCAGCGTGGAAGAGGCTGGGATGTCTCTTCTGCTGTCTAGGCAGCTGCAGCGCCTGCTTCTGCTTTAGGGGGAACGTCTCAAGCTTTTCTACTGGCTATGGATGCCGAGTTGCTGGAGGGAAGAAAGTGAACTTCCAGCGTGGGACCCGAGCCTTTTTTGGTAAAAAGCGTGTCAAAAGCCCCTGTTCTTGCCGCGCCGGGGGGAGAGCTATTAAGACTTAGGCGGCGGCAACAGGGAAAGGGGCTCCGCTGCGGCAACCCCCCCTTTCCCCGCCGTTCCCCGCAGCCTGGTAACGCCTCCCGCCGGCACCGGGGAGCCCAGGGTGACCGCGGGACTCTTAACGTGAAGCCGCCGGAGTGGGACGCGCCGGC